TAATGATCCTCCTACCTGTGATCTAATTATTCTAAACAGTGTCAATGGCAGTGTAAAACTTCTACAGTTACAACTTTTACATTACACAAATTAATGATCCTCCTACCTGTGATCTAATTATTCTAAACAGTGTCAATGGCAGTGTAAAACTTCTACAGTTACAACTTTTACATTACACAAATTAATGATCCTCCTACCTGTGATCTAATTATTCTAAACAGTGTCAATGGCAGTGTAAAACTTCTACAGCTAAAACTTTTTAATTACAATAATTAATTATCCTCCTACCTGTGATCTAAATAATCTAATCAGTGTCAATGGCAGTGTAAAACTTCTACAGTTACAATGTTTACTTTGGGGTTAAACAGTGAGTCTGGAACTATATTTTCTCGTGGATTAACACACAGGAAGTGTATTAATCAGTACTGCTGTTCCATGTTGCAACGTGATAATCCTATTTTCTGTTGACGATCAATGCACCCAGTGAGACTGGATGAGAGCGAGATGTTACTCAGTCTGATGTCACTGGTTGGATTTGTAAGCATGGGAGAGTTCGGGCATTTCTTTGTTTTTTTTATAATTTCAGTTATAATAAAACTAATAGACGGAAGACACCCTGTTTGACTGAGGTCTTTTGTGAATCACAACTATGTTCCTCCCACCTGTGAGGCGGCAAAGGCCAGTTTCTCCAGGCCCACCACGTATCTCCTCTTGGCCTTCATCGTCTCGTCCTGTTTGCTCCGGAGCAGGTTCTTGAAGGCGTGGATCAGCTCGAGGTACGACGTGGGCGTCACGTAGTTGTGTCGGCCGAGCTCCACCAGGAACCTTGGGATGTACACGTCGTGATTAAAAAAAAAAATTCAAAATGCTTACCGTAACAAAAGATTAACACATTTGTTTGTTTTAGTAGAGGTTTTACGGCGCTCGCAACTGCAAAAGGTCATATGAGCGCCAGAAGATAAGAGCTGTTACAAGAGAGTAACAAACATAGAAAAGAAGAAGGGGAGATAAGGACGATAGATGTTCGATAGGAAAGAAGAAGCAAACCATACCAGAGCACCCGCCAACCACCCACAGACTAACACGTCTAGACTAACTTGTGTGCTCACAAGTTATCGCTGTCGGCATTCGCAACCAACCCCGAGGCACTTCTGTTCTGTGATCGTCGGAGCATGTAAAAAACCTGAAAAACCATGCCCAGTTACATGTCGTGATTGTTTCAGAAAAAGAACACAACTGAAGGAGAACATCAATATGTGACGACAACCTTAAGGTAGAGCCTGCTGAGAAGGGAGAAGGATTTATGGATAGAATCCGTCCTTGAAGATCCAAGTAATCAAGTGATCAAGAACACAGCACACAAGACTCGGGCAACAAAGTACGGTTGTTTTAGTTTCGCTTCAGTAAGAGTTTTATGGCACTTGCAACACAATAAGGTCATACAAGTGCTGAAGATTAGAGGTGTTACAAGAGAGTAACAAACATAAATAAGAAGGAGGAGAGATAAGGACGATTGATGTTTGCTAGGAAAGAAAGAGCAAACCACACCAGAGCACCCGCCAATCACCCATAGTTTCACTGTCTAAGTCAGAATATTATAATACAGGTTTTTGGATGATGAGAGGTTTTTAAAACCCAGAAATATATATATATATATATTTCTACCAAAACATAGATCTGAGAGCGTACCTGACAGAGAACTCTCTGACACTCTGGTGAAAGTAGCGGCACAAGGTAACGACCGACTCCTTCTCGTTCACGTCTATCTCCGCGTTCTCCAGGAATTTGTGCGCCACACGGGACAATGCATCGTCGGGCCACGCCTGGGGGGGAACATGTATGTGGAGACGTGATTTTGAGAGAGAGAGAGAGAGAGAGAGAGAGAGAGAGAGAGAGAGAGAAAGAGAGAGAGAGAGAGTCAGGGGGTGAGAAGGAGTAGAGAGAGAGGAGAAGCTACAGAAAGAGGGAGGCCGAGAGAGGG